TGCGCTGCGCGCTCGGGATTTTAATCTGCAAAACTTCTCCCTCTCGTTGCTACGTAACAAAACAATCGGGAAATATCCGATAATTTTGAAGGTCTCGTGGTATTACTACAGAATATTTTTTGTTAAACATCTCAATAGAATCGGCCAAAAACTAATTGAGAGTTCAATAGATATCCAATAGAATTTTGTAACCAATTCGCTAGGTAAATATTTCTATTATCCCTCGATCACTCGCGCTCGGCCGCCAGCCTTCGTTCATCGCAGGGTTAGCGCAGCGCCGCTGGAGTAAACCGAGCGCGCTGTTGCCACATTTGAAAGGCGCGCAGTGCGCCTCAAATGTGGCAGAGAATGAAGCTGTAAATGTAGCTCGCTTGAGTGGTCGACAGAGATTCACTCGCACCGGGCGGAGTGACGCGGCGCACTTTCCTGTCCGTTCGACATTTTTTTTTGTAGCTAAACAAATTTTTCGAAAAAAAAACCGACAATGCCAACGCTCAATAAAAAAATTGAACTAGGAACTCTAATTTTTCAGGATTTTTTAGCGTCAAGAAACACTAAAATATAAATAGACAAAATAGCCCAGGCACTTTAGCTCGAAAAATATGTGTAAAGAGAAATTATTCCGAGGCCAATGATAATATATCAAATTGTTCAGAAAAATCCCCTGAACAACATATCAAAAAAGGTCCTTTCCGGATGGATCACCAAATTAGTTATTAATGAAAAACTATCAATTATTTATGCGCCAACGCCACGAATACTCATAACTTGAGTTGGATACATCCAATTGGGATAAAAAAAATACTAGAATTTAGAGGATGAAATTATCTATGAATTCATAGCGAAAACCTACACTCAAAAACTTACAGTTTTTGCGTAAAAAATTCCCAAAAACTTTTTTTCTTTGATTTCTGCTAGACGATCAGCTGCTCTCTTAGCTCCTCCCCTTTTGACGCGCGCGCCTCGTGTAACGCCGCGCCATGCGCAGTAAGTTTGAAATCATGAGATATACGATTTTTATTTAATCATTCAATCGCGTGATTTTTGGACACGTTAGTTGTTTTTATTTGATACAAAAATTTAATTGCAGATCGTATAAAATAAATCACTGAATAATGTTGGCGTCAGTTGTGTATTATAAATTATTGTTGGGTATTTTCTAAATCCAAAAACAGTAAAGATGCTACTGGCATCGTCGCCACGTTTGATATCATTAAGTCTAGACTCTTCCTATAATTGGGTTTTTTANTCTATAATTGGGTTTTTTATCTTTGTACTAAGTGGTATGATTCATGCACCTGGCACTACCTGGACCCCCGCAGAGTTCAAGACATCACTGTCTAGTTTTGCCCTCCCGTTTCGTGTGTATATGTGAGGTGACCTTTTCGATATACTTGGATACGGACCGTTTTTGTACCTGCCCCCCTCCATTACTCTCTGGAGCCCCAGCTGTCCTTGCATCTGTTGAATTAGGGTGGACCCAAGCTAACGGTGTCTTTCCAGTTTCTGTGCGTCTTCATAGTGAACAGTTTGCCAGATTCTTCGTGTTGTGTGAATACTGATTCTCCTTAAAATATTCTACAATGTCTCATCCGGGTTTTTGCTTTATTTGTGATGAAAGTTTAGCCGATGGTCGTGACGTTAAATCGATGAAACAAAAGGGCATAAATACTTCCATCGCCAAAAGTAAACAAAGAGGGGATGACAAGTGGAAGATTCTTGAAAATTTGACTGAAGTGCGCGTTCATGAATCTTGTCGTGTTAGCTACAATTTATCGAAGAAAAAGGGACCCATTCCATCATCATCATCAACACAACCGGAGTCAGAAGCTTTTGATTTCGAGACTAATTGTTTTCTATGTACCACATTATGGAAGCCGATTGATAAACCTGGACGACTGGTAGCCACAAACCAATTACAGGTACAAATCGAAAGATTCATCAGTCCTCGCAACGATGAATGGGCGCAGACTGTTTAGAAGAGAATCCAGTCAACATCGTTACTGGAGGCCCAGGCTCGATACCATAACATGTGTTATCGTCAATTCACCTACATCGCATCTGAAAATTATCCAGGACGACCAAGAATAGAGGAATTAGAAACTGCCTTTGCTAAAGTATGCCGCTACATGGAGGAAAGTGAGGATTGTCAATTTTCTCTCGCAGAATTGATGGACAAATTGGAAGGTTTCACAACAACACCTGCAACATTCAAACAGAAGCTACGTAATAAGTACGGCTATGATATTATCATCATCGAGTATCCAGGAAAATCGACTATCGTCTGTTTTCGTAATACTGGTTACAAGATTTTAGTCGATAGCTGGTATCAACAGAACGCTACAACGCCAGAAGAGGAACGACTCCGTATAGTCCTTGCTGCGGCCGACATCATTCGAGAGGACATCAGGAGCCGAGTGTATAATACTTCGTCGTATCCTTCGCCGGAAGAATTATTCAATAATGTCGAAGAAGATATACCTGACAGTTTAACTACTTTCTTGGATCGAGTGTTACTGAAAGGCAAGAAAAATATTGAGGAGAAACTTACTACGAAACGTGACAGCATCGCCCACGCTATTGTATCAATAGCACGTCCAAGATCATCAGCCAGCATCAGTGAGCCAACGGTGATCAAGAAACGACGTTTGAGGAAATGAAAAATTTCCATTGGAAGAGGTAAATGTCAATAATTAATATTCCTATTGATTAACTAACAACTCCCTTTCTAACAACTGTCTTTCTATTCACAGATCTGAGCTGCTATTGAACTTGGACGACCAACTGAGGAGGAACACACAACGACACATAAATTTTAAAAATTAATCATTCAACAAGTTACAAATTTATAAATTTAGGGGACAGTGGGGTAAAATGAACCATCATTTTGTACCACACTCCCCCAATATTTTATCATTTCTTTCAATCACTGTAACATTAATCATGAACGCGCGTACCTGGT